CAAGAATGCCCCTCTCAATCTGTCCTCCCCCACACAATTTTCTCCCAAATTGTCCCCCCTCACTCTCATTCCAGACACTCCTCCAGTTTGGCTGCTCCCTCTCCGCTGTGGGTGATCTCTGAAATGGCCAATGCCCATTTCCTCCCTTGAAACTGAGGACACTGCCACAGCTTCATTCCCGGCCCCAGTCGCTCCTGGCATATTCTCCCAGTCGGTTCCTTCCCCCACAGACCCTGGGCAGCTCCAGGACCTGGTCCCGCGCCCATGGGTGTAAGACACCCCAGCTGCCTGGCTCCTCCCTGCCAGCCCCAGGACACTCCCACCTCCTGTCTCTGCCCCAGAAGCCCCCGGCCCCCTTGCAGACTGTCTCGTCACCACGGTGAGGCCTGAGCCAGCAGCAGTGGTTTCTTCTCCTGTAGACCCAGACACCCACACCGCAGCAGGCACGTGCCCCGCCATGGGAACTCCTACACCTGCAAGCACCCCCAAAGACAGAGGTACCCTCACAGCCTCGGGGACTACTGTAGTGGGTCTCCGCCACAGGCCTGGCACACCTTCAGAGCCCGTCTCCCTGCCCACAGGTCCCGAAGCCCGGGCAGCAGTGGGCCCCTCCGTCGCCAGTCTCCTTCCCCACGCACCAGCGACATCCCCAGCGCTAGTGTCACCCACCACCAGCCCAGGAGCGCCAGCAGCTGCGGGCACTCCCACAGCCATGGCGACTCTGGCAGCCACGGGCATCTCCGCCGTCTGTCTTCTTCCCGATGAGCCCAAGAGATACCCAGAGAGTGTCTCCTCCTCTCCAGGCCCAGGCAACCCCACAGGCACAGGTACCCCCGCAGTCTGTCTCCTCCCTAGCAAGTGTGAGAAGCCCCCAGAGCCAGTCTCCACCCCCAGAGGACAAGGCACCCTGGGAGCAGCGGGCACCTCCACGGCCACAGGAACGCTGGCACTCTGCCTCCTTCCCCAAGATCTGGGGACACCCCCAGAGCCAGTCTCTTCCCCGACAAGCCCAGGTACCTCGGGAGCTACAGCAACCTTGTCAGTCCCCGGAAGCCCGGGCACCGGCCTCCTCCCCCATAGCCTTGGGAAAGCCGCAGACCCCGCATTCTCTCTCACAGCCACCAGCTCCTCCGAAGCCACAGGGACCCCAGCAGCCAGGGGCGTTCCGGCAGTGGGAACACCTTCCCACGGGTTCAAGACCCCTCTAGAGCTGACTTCCGGACATGCAGGGCCCGACACCCACACAGCGGCAGGCACCCTCCCAGAGCCAGGCGCACCCACAGCTGCGGGGACCCCCGCGGGGGCGCACCTGTGCTTGGGCATCCCCACCGCCTCAGACACGCCCACGGCCTGTCTCCTCCTGCACAGACATGCAACATCCCTGTAGCCAGCCTCCTGGTCCACGGACCCAGGGACCCCTAATGCTGTCAGCACCAGAGCCCCCTGCTCCCCCACCGCCGGCCTCCTCTCCCACAGACTCGGGACATCGTCACAGCACGTCTCCTCCCCAACCACCCCTGGCACTGCCTCAGCCAGAGGCACCCCCAGAGCCTGCTGCCTGGCCCACAGGCCTGGGATGCCACCATAACGTGTCTGCTCTCCTATGGCTCCTGGCACCACCCCAGCCTGGGACACACCCACAGGCTGGGCTGGTCCCCACAGACCCAGCACACTCCCTCCGCCTGCATCCTGCCCCAAAGCCTGAGGTGTGCCCATGGCCTGTCCTACACCCCAGAGGCCTGGCGCACCCCCGGGGTCTGCCTCCTGCTCTTCAGGACCAGACACCTCCGTGGTCTGGGCTACTTCCCACGGCCCTGGGTCACCTGCAGAGCCCGTCTCTGCCCACACAGCCTGTCCCATCTCCCTGAACCCTGCGTCGCCGCCGCATCTAGCTTCCTCTTCCACAGCACAAGGCACCCCTACAGGCTGCCTGGAGACCCACAGGTCAGGGACACCCCCAGGGCCTACCTCCTCCAGAGCTCCCCTCCTCTGCCACATGCCTGGGGCACCCACAGAGGGAGTTTCCTCTGCAGCTCTGGGCACCTCCACAGCCTGGCCCCTCCCCCACAAGGTGTCCCCATAGACTGCCTCCTGCACCAGAGCCGGAGCACCCCCACAGCCTACCTCTCCCTCCACAGCTCTGGGTACCTCCACAGCCTCAGGCCACCCTGCGACCCCAGGCACCCCCATAACCGGTCCTCTTCCCCACGGGCCTGGGGCAACCTCGTAGCCTATCTCCTCCACAGTCCCAGGCACCCCAGGGGCTGGTCCTCTCCCCAGCAGGAGTGGGGCAATCCCCGAACTTGTGGCCACAGCCCCAGGCACACCCTCAGGAGGCAAGCTCACCGCCTGGCCCAGGCCCCGCCAGCCCGGGGGCCGCTCACATCCCGCCCCTGGGCCAG